CTGACTTACAAAAAAAAAAAAAAAAAAAAAAAAACAGCAAGGGATGTAATCCATGACGTAAAGTCCAGGAGTTCTGGCCCCTGTGGCTGCTGGGACAGCCCAGTGGTGACCGCTGTTTTTCTTTTTCCTCCTCTGCCTCAGGAGAGGATTGGACCCCATCATTTCTAAAGTCACCTTCAGTTATATCATTTGTTTTTTCTAAATAATTTCTCTTCTTCCTCTACTCCAAGAAGGAAGGAGCTAGCAGAACCATAATAGAAAAATAGCAATCAGTTAAGAATGTCCTGACTCATAGAAAAGGCAGGCAGCGCCTGTGGCTCTAAAGGGTAGGGCGCTGGCCCCAGATGCCTGGGTTCAAACCCAGCCCTGGCCAAAAAAAAAAAAAAAAAAAAAACAAGGAAAAGGCAAGCATCCCCTCCATGCTCTTGTAATCTGGGTGTTTAATCCCAGAAACTACATTCCAGAAGTGGCCGTTCGTAGGACTAAGCAGGTCCAAGTCACTGGCTTTGAGCTGTTTTCCCAAAGGCAAGTTCATAGGCCTGGGACACAGGCTGGCTGAGTCCTTTCATGGACTCTCTTTTATACTTGAGTTGATGACCTCCAGACTAAGAGTGGCCCCAAATTAAAACTCAAGAAGGTAGACAGATCACTTGTACCCAGTTGTCCTAAGAGAGGGATCTGCATGTCAGAGTCAGTTGTCTCTACGCTGGAAGAGACTTGTGTAGGCTTTCAGAGTAGAACTACTCTTCATCTGAGAAAACTGATTTGCAGGGAAGTGAAAATGCTCACCCCGGTCACTCAGCTGAGTAATCTGGCACGTCCCTGCTGTGTGTGTGGGTTTCCGCACCCCCAACGGAGCCCGTAACTTCCATCCTCCTTTACCAGGCTCTGTGGCTGAAACGATGCTTTCCAGTGAACTTCTTATTGATCATTCACCCACAGCAATAGCGACATTCAGTCGCTAGCATCCAAGTCAAGAAATAGGATAAAAAGAGCATCCCAGAAGCCCCCTGTGCCTTCTCTCTGTCACTTCCCCCGAGGTGACCACTGTCTCGATCTTTGTTGTATTTTTTATTCCAACTTCCTTAATATAATATGCTGGCCTGACTTACAAAAAAAAAAAAAAGAACAAAAAAAAAACCTCATAAAGAACATGTTTGATTTCAGTTTAAATTCAGAAGGGACTCTTGTATTTCAAGTGAAAAGGACCGGGGCGGCGCCTGTGGCTCAAAAGGGTAGGGCGCCAGCCCCATATGCTGGAGATGGTGGGTTCAAACTCAGCTCCAGCCAAAAACAAAACAAAAGGACCGGAGTTCCTGATGAAATTGCTCTTGGACACATTGGTTCCTAAACTGCGGTTTCCCTCTGTCTCTCTAACCCTTTGGAAACAGTGTTTCTCAAACATGTTCTGTAACTGTTCGCCATCTCCTTTTCCAAGAAGCAGTGGGCATTTTTGAACTGGCTTCTTTCCACCTGCAATGTCATACACAGGAAAGTCCCTTGCTCTGTGGAGATGCTCTCGTGGGCACATGCCCACAGTCGGCCGAACGAATAAAAAGGACCTGAAATCACAGGGAGGAATGAGGGATGGAGCAGCTTCAGAAAGGGGGGTCATGGCCCATGGTCAGGGATACTCACCAAAGCCCCTAGGCTTGGACAGTGCACGGCCTGTTAGGCCTGGTAGGGAGCTTGGATTTAACTCATAAAACAATGGGGATCCCCTGATGCGCTTGTTGTAAACCAGTGACCCTAAGACCAATGGGACATAGTCAAGTTTATTAACTGTAAAGAGGAAGGTCTCAGAGTGGAGGGACCACAGGGCAGCTCACAGAGGAAAAACCGGTGGGATGAGGGGAAGGTGGGTTGGGGGCGGTGCAGAGGAAGCCATCTCTCCTGGGCCGTGTGCAAAACAGGCAGCAGGTGAAAGCTCAGTACAAGCCCAGGCAGCAAGGTGGGCACAGGCTGCTCTTTCTCTGGGGCTCACAGGCGTGAGGCAGAGGTGGGGAACCCAGGGGGCAAAGCTGCTTCTCTGTGCCAGTGACTCAGATCCCTGGACAAGAGTGGGCTGTTTCCTGCATGCTGACAGCACTTCAGACAGCTGCACCACTGACTGCCTAGACTTTCAGAGAGCCAAGTTTCTCAAGGAGTAAGAAAGCAGTCGTCACTCAAAGAAAGGGGCTGTTTGGACATCTGCCAGTCACAGAGTGTCCTTGGGGAAAATGTTGACACTGTTTGTTTTGCAGCTGCTTTATCTGCGTCTGTGCTCCAGCCGGATGAGTGGGTGGGCAGGTCTTCACACTCAGAGCTGGTTTCACTGTCAAGGTCCACACAGTCATTCACCACAAACAAACAGACATTAGCACTTACAAATGGTGACACCCTGACCTAGTCCGCAGAGGCTGTCCTTCCACCTGGACAGCCTGTCCCTGTCCACATGTTTAAATTCTAGCCACCCCTGTGACCCAGCCTGGAAACCCCCTACTCAGAGACAGGTTCCTGGGAACCTGGTGGGAGGGACGTTCTCTCTGTCCCGGGTGCCCTGGGCTCTCTCCTTTTCCTCTCCCAGGCCCTGTCTCACTTCCCAGCCCGTGTCCTAGGTGTGCCCACACCTTTTCCTGCTCACATTTCAGGCCAGTGGCAAATAGCCCCCTCTATGCTGTGCAGGACCATAAGACCGTCCTTCCTAGGCCCCCCAGGGACCCTAGTGCAAGGTGGAGGGAGGCTGGCAACTGTGTTGTTTCGAGATCACGAGGCGTCTTGCATGTGCCAAGTTTGGATATTGCTTACTGGAGGCAGCCTGAGTGCTCCCCAGCGTTGAGTCACCATCCATGAGCTCTAGCAGGGGTGTCCAAAGGCCACATGCTGCTTTTGTGAGAATTTTGCTTCTCTGTGGTGTTGGATACCACATAAAAATATGCACGGGCCTTTCGGGTTTTGTTTTTGTTTGTTTGTTTTGCTAATCAGCTTCCATTAGCGTTTGTGTATTTAATGTGCAGCCCGGTACAACTCTTATTCTTCCCATGAGCACTGGAGAAAAGCACAAGTTGGACTCCCCATTTCCATCTGCAGGCCCAGAATCCGTGCTGAGAGACATTGTTTTCCAAAATGGCGTGAGCAATCACTGGTCACAGGCCATTAATAGAATGTAAAGCTGGTGTCCATCCTGCCCTTTGTAGGATAGTATCTGCCCTCCGTCACTGACCGCTACCTGTCAACCTTTCCTACATCCTCCCTCCCTCCCTCCTGCCACGCACTCTTCCCTCACTTTCCTGAGCCCCAAATTCACCGCATTCTCTGTGTGGTTCTCCTCTGCCTCCACCTTGGGCCAGCAGAAGCTGCACCAGATTCATCTGGTCACCTCCTCCTCCCCTATCAGCACTCAGACCAGGTGACATGTCCTTATACAGACCCCACTGGCCCCCTACCTGCAGTCTTAAAGCCGCTCTGCACCTCCTATTCACAGCCTCAGCCTTGTCGCATAGATACACACTAGTGCCCCAATATGAGGGTCACAGGCCCCTGATCCCTAGAGAACACCGTGATCACCTTAAAGTTGTTTTCTTTTCTTTTCTTTTTTTTTTTTGAGACAGAGCCTCAAGCTGTCCCCCTGGGTAGAGTGCTGTGGCATCACAGCTCACAGTAACCTCCAACTCCTGGGCTCGAGTGAGTCTCCTGCGTCAGCCTCCCGAGTAGCTGGGAGCACAGGCGCCCGCCACAAAGCCTGGCTATTTTTTGGTTGCAGCCATTATTGTTGTTTGGCAGGCCCAGGCTGGATTTGAACCCGCCACCTTAGGTGTATGTGGTTGGCGCCTTAGTCACTTGAGCCACAGGTGCCGAGCCTCTTTTTTATTTTTTTGAGACAGTCTTACTATGTCACCCTGTATTGAGTGCCATGGCGTCATAGTTCACAGCAACTTCAAACTCTTGGGTTCAGGTGATTCTCCTGACTCAGCCTCCTAAGTAGCTGGGACTACAGGCTCCTGCCACAACATTGGCTAGTTTTTCTATTTTTAGTAGAAATGAAGTCTTGCTTTTGCTCAGGCTGATTCAGAGTGCTAGGATTACAGACATGAGCCACTATGACCAGCCTCAAGCTTGTTATAGTGCAGGTTCCTGGACCCCCTCAATGCACAGAGATTCAGAGCAACAGGGGAGGATCTAGGGCAGCGGTTCTCAACTTGTGGGTCGCGACCCACAGGACCTGTATTAAGAGGCCATGGCATTAGGAAAGTTGAGAACTACTGGTCTAGGGCCTAAGAATCCACATTTTAATCCACTTCCCAGATAAATCTGGTGCAGGCTGCAGTGGGCCAACACGGGGGAAGTCTGCCCTCACCTGGGGACCTGCGTGCCAGCATCTTGCTGTGTAAGTCAGTAGGTATGAAGAGTGAAGGGCCTGCCTGTCATGGTGCCCGTGACAGCCTCCACAGTGTCACTAGGCTGGTTTTGCTGCTTGAGAGATAATTTTGAACGTAATTGTGATAACCAGCATGACCTTTTCTTTCCCTCTCTCTCCTTTTTTCTCTCCAAGGCCCTCTTCATGCTCCCCAGACCTGGGCGGGCCTCGCTGCCAACTCTGCCTCCCCAAGTGTATGATGTGCCTACCCAGAGCCGGGTCCCCTCAGCCCTCAAGGTGAGGCCTCTTCAGCACCACCCAGAGTCTGGGCTGTCCATGTCACATGGACATTGCATTTCAGCTTCACCAATGGAGGTGGTGGGCATAGTCCACTCAAACTCCAAAACACACGTCACCACTTTGTAACTTCCTCTTGTGCCTGTGGAGTCAATGTTATGACCATCTGAATTCTGAATATTTTAAAAATGTTGACATTTTATTTGTAATATTTGTAACAGATATTTTATATGTGCATGTATGTACATATACACATGTGCATTTAGAAATAATAATAATGATAAGACCTTGAAGGATACGCACAACCAATGGTCTTATCTACAATTATCATTGATTATCTTAACATTGATTGTCTTGGGGGGGATACAATTTTAGCGGTTTTTTCTTAACTTATCTATATGCCACTGGTACATCAAATTTGTAAGGCTAGCTGCATGTGATCAAAAAACAGCATCCTGGGCGGTGCCTATGGCTCAAAGGAGTGGGGCACTGGCCCCATATACCAGAGATGACAGGTTCAAACCCAGCCCCGGCCAAAAACTGCAAAAAAAAAAAAAAAAAATCCAGCTTCCTCCTATTGTAGTCTATCAAAGCCATTCGAGGCTCTTGCCACACTTGCAGCCTGCCCCACCACAGACCCTCTGCCCAGAGATCGGGAATTTTTAGAAGTTTCCAAGTGATTCTAATAAACAGCCAGGCCTGAGGGCCACATTTCTATTCTAAATAAAACGAGCAGGCTCAGTAACTTTCTGGTCATACACAGGTAATAAATGTCCAGGTAATAATCAAACTTTCTAGTTCATTTAAAGCCAAAGCCCCTGCCAGGTTTGGGCCTGGGCCTGGGCTCTTGCAGTGGGAACCAAAGACTAGGAGTCTCTGTAGGCCCCTGTCTCAGGTTTCTACTGGCCCTGCACCCCTGTCGCTCTTGCAGGAAGCAGGTGGGGAGAGAGGGCCTGTGGGAGAAAGGCCCTACTGGCCGGGCCCTGGGTTGGCTGGCTGGCAAGATGCTGCAGGGGAGGTGTGTGGTCGGTTCTCTCCCCCAAGTGCCACGGCCTCTGCCCCCACCTCTGTGCAGAATAGCTCTTACCAGCCAAGTCCTCCAGGTGGGCAAAAGCTTTTCCTCTGATGGATCCTCCCTTAGTTCCAGAGCTGGCAGGTCAGCTCCAACGGCCTCCTCCTGAGAGTTCCTCACCCCTTCTGCTCCAGTGCACATGACCCATACCTGATCCATGGAAAACACACAGGCTCCCTCTGATACTACAGACTCCAGAAGCACAGGCATTAACCCTGGGCTTGAAACTTTTAAGTGACTTTAAAGTTTAAAGTTTGCATGACTCACCTCACTCACCTCACCCCAGTCCCACCCCACCAGGTCCCATCTTTATATAAAATCTTGACATTTGAGGCTGGGTATGGTGGCTCATAGCAGTTTCGGAGGCTGAGGCAGGTGGATCACTTGAGTTTAGGAGCTCAAGACCACCCTGAGTAAAAATAGAAAAATCAGCCGAGCATTGTGGTGGGCACCTGTGGTCCCAGCTACTCCAGAGGCTGAGGCAAGAGGTTTGGGGATCACTCAAACCCAGGAGTTCGAGGTCGCTGGGGACAACAGAGTGAGATTCTGTCTCAAACAAACAAACAAAAAACATTGACATTTTGTTCATCATAATTTTTGCATTAATTATGATTTTTAAAATAATGCATGAAAATATTACTTGCATTGATGACTGAGTTTTTCAATGCCCCTTTAATGTGCCCAAGGTGACTGGTTGGCCAAGAACAGGCCTTCCCCTCTGCATCTTGTCATCAGCCTCTCACCTCCCACTTTATTTTACCCAAGCCAGAGTCAGCCTTCCCCACCCCCATGCACTGTGACCCCAAAGCCAGAGGGCCACCGTCCCCAACTGAGGAAAATCCTCGGGACACTCACAGGCCAACCATTTCCAACCCTCTCCCTGGAATTTCCAGCTCTTTCTTTCTTTGCAAAATCTCTGTTGGTGCTCTCTCACCTTGCCTTGGAAATTGGAACCTATTTTTCAAACCCTACTGTAGGGATTTTCCAATTACTGTACCTGTTATATACACAGGGTGCCAAAAAACATATATATATATTTTAAGAGAGGGAAAAAACGTATTAAATTTGTAATAGTCAAGCTACAGTTGACTTCTGTAATCACAAGAAGTGCTCAATGTGACTTATATATATTGAGTATTACGCTTTCAACACAGTTTTTTGCCTTTCCTAAAATGTGTATGCCTTTTGGACATCCTCTGTATATTACATAATATGTATCATATATTTCTCAAGCTGTTGAAGAAGTTTGAGGAGGGGAGTGATGATCAGATTTTTAAGAAGCGCAGTGCCTGGCACTTGGTAGGTTGCCAGCGTGAGGCACATTCATCCCACGTGTCTCTCTGACCCTCTTTATCATTGCCCTGTTACTCATGCACAGTGACATTGGGCTTAGTGTCTGGTAGCTTGTAGACACTTGGTAAATATTTGCAGGATGAATAAATAAGTGACAAACACAGGAAACCTTCTATGGGGAAAAATAAACAAGAAAGACAGATGATGTATTGTCCCAGACTTATTTATTCTTCTGGCTTAATTCAATCTTAATGCTAACCCACAGAAGGAGACAAACTCAGGCAGCTGCAGATGATTCTCTCTGTGTACCCCCCCCCCCGCCCCTCCCTTCAGTTAAGAAATCACTTTTTAAAGCATAAGTCCCTTGTTGAACATATGCCGGCTGCAGTCCAGTGACTTTCACCCTTAGTGCACCGTGCCTGAAAGCCCCAGAGTCTTCAGTGACTTGTTTTCCTTTGTAAAAAAAAAAAAAATGTGGAGTGGGGGATTTGTGGTGTGTAGCTATCAGGAAAGGAAAATCCAAGTTGTCTTCCTCTGTGGTCTCTCCCCAGGAGTCAGAGAAGCAGCAGCTATACGACATACCGGCCAGCCCCCACAAGGCAGCCCTCTGTCCCCCCGCCAGCCAAGCCAGTGTAAGTGTGAACAGGTGCTGAGGTGCAATGCCAAGAACACCTCCAGGTCCTCTGGGAAGTGTTGTTAGCTTGGTCGAAAATCGCAATGCAAATTTCTCATAATAGATGTTACTGCTTTTCAGGCAAAACCCCTGATTGCACTGGTGTTCAGGACAGGACTGGCTGAGTGGTGTGAATAAGTCATTCAAGTTCTGCATGTCTTGATTTTTGTGTCTTGGGCATATTAAGTTAGATAATCCCTGCAAAGGATCTGGTACAGAGCCTGGTACACAGCAAGAGCTCAGATAACTGCTTCTTCTCGTGACAGGCCTCAGGGACACATTGTGTTAAAGTGCCTTTGTTTTTATATGGGGGAATGACTTAATTTGAAGTCTGTGTAACCATGTTTACCATTGGATCCTACCATATGTGTGTCCCAGGGATGCACTTGTGCCCAGGGTTATTAGGGAACGCCCTACAAAGAGGCGGCAACTCAGCAGTGTCACCAGGAGTGCATAGGAGTTTGCTGAATGGGAAGGACAGGGCTGGAAGGGCATTTAGAGCAGAGGAAGCAGCTTGGGAAAAATCAAATACAGCGGTCTGACTAAGCGTGCTGACATCAGGGGAAGGTAAACAGCTGGCTGGCTGGACCCCAAGGAGGTGCTGGCACAGGAGGCAGGGCTCGAGTGGTGGAGGTGGAGAGAAAGGGGGCTACGAGGAGGTGGGGAAGGGCCTTGAATGAGAGAGAAACCGGGAGCCATTAAAGGAAGTCGAGCTACTAAGGCAGGGGAATGAGGAGCACATTTGAAAAAGTCATTCATACCTTTTTCTTGGCTACTAACATGGAGCTACTAACATTCATACCTTTTTCTTGGCTACTAACTGCTTCTACAGGAGCAGGGTGCTCTTACACCAATGACTGCCGTCAAGAGGAAAGGCTACCACACCTTACCAAATCCTCAGAAGCCAGACTGGATTTATGACACTCCAGTGTCTCTGGGAAAGACCAATGTCAGAAATACATCTCCAGCCGGCTCTGCAGAAGAATCGGGGCCCGACGCTCCTCGTTCTGGCTCCACTTTCTGCAATCCTCCCAGTAGCAGAGTCGGGATCTTCACTCCACAGCTGAATGTGCCCAGGCAGAAAAAATACAGTCTTCCAGAAATCCATTCTCATGGCTCTCCAGCACCCAAGGACTCATTCCCTTTGGAGGAAGGTGTCAGCTACAAGGTTCCGTCCAGCTTTCTGACCCCCCGGGTGGAACAGCAGAACACAAAGCCCAATATTTATGACACCCCTAAAGCGATGATGAGTATCCCTCACGCTGGGAAGGAGCTGGGAAAAGCCGATGAGGCCCCAGAGACTTCCACAGGCCCAAACACCCCATGGTTCTGCAGACCCACAACCTTCCTGTCACGTGACAGATTATTGGCCACCAGTCCCGACAGAGCTAGTGTGGTGTCTTCCTGCTCCTCCATGTCCACGGACTCCTCCTGCAGCTCTTCCTCAGAGGAGTCAGCAAAGGAGCTCTCCTTGGACCTGGACTTGGCCAAGGGGACGGTGAGGGCTCTGCAGCACAAGGTGGTCAGCTCTGCAGCGGACCTGCTGCTCTTTGTAAGCAGGAAGTGGAGGCTCCGGGACCATCTGGAGGCCAATGTGAACGCAATCCGCAGGGCTGCCGATCACATAGAAGAGTCTGTAAGAGAATTTCTGGATTTTGCCCACGGAGTCTGTGGGACAGCCAGTAAGCTCACCGACAGCAACTTTCAGGCCAGAATCAGGGATCAGCTACAGACAATCTCCAACTCCTACCAGACCCTCCTGGAAACAAAGGAGAGCCTGGATGACTGCAATTGGGCCCTGGAAGTCCTTGTGACTGACAAAGTCCAAACCAGCCCGGATGACCTTGAGAGGTTTGTCATGGTGGCACGGACCATTCCAGAAGACATCAAGAGGTTTGCCTCTATTCTTATTGCCAATGGGAGGCTCCTTTTTAAACAGAACTGTGAAAAGGAAGAGACAGTGCAACCGACCCCAAATGCAGAATTTAGGGGTGCAAAAAGCATCCAGCCTCCCCAAAGAGAAATCGAATCATACCAAAGGAAGACTCCTTTTACTAAGCAGAGGGAAAATGAACACTCCCCGGGACTGTTAAAGAAATCTAGGACAAACACTTGTGAACAGGTGAGCTCAGAGTTCCACGAGGCACAACAAAGGAGCATCACTTCTTAGTAAACGGTCACCTCTAAGTGAGATGCTGAGAATCTCTCGACAGTGCTGAGGCTTTGGGGAGACACTGGTTCCATTTTTGAGAAAATCAAATTAATAAAAGTAGAATTCTAGATGAAACTTTATTAGTTAAAAAGATAAACATTTTATTATTAAGCTAGAAAAGTCAGCGTATTTGGGTTTCTTCTGGAAATTTAGGGGGTTTGGGTTTGCCACCGATAACAGAATTAGAAAGATTTTAAAACATTTTTCTTTTTTTGAGACAGAGTCTCACTTGGTCACCTTCAGTAGACTGCCATGGCATCACAGCTCACAGCAACCTCAAACTCTTGGGTTCAAGCATTTCTCTTGCCTCAGCCTCCCAGGCAGCTGGACTACAGGCACCTGCCACAATGCCCGGCTAAGCATTTTAAAACTTTTTCAAATATCCATTCCTTGAGTAGATTTTTTTTTGGTTTTAATTTAATTTTTTTCATTTCAGTCATTCGATTTCAGCCTAACATTTTAAAAACCTCCCCATTTCCTTGAAATTTCCAAAGTTACAAATTTAGTCACTGTCAGTGTGTTTCTTAGCAACAGAAGAGGAAGTATAAACATTATGAAAATTCTTCCAAATTGTTCATGTTCCAATCAGCCTCTAGACTTTGGTTACTCTTAGAAATACATGACTGGATGAGTTAAGATTTTACAGAAAGAGGAGCTTTAGGTCAGGGATTCCAAGTCTCAGGAGGCCCAGCAGGTAACTCAGGGGCGGTGCCAAGGAGATGATTTGGTCCTTTCAGCCCCAGCCCATGGTGTTCTGCTGAAATGACTGGTGGCGTAAGGACTCCAACACATTTTAGAAATTTTGAAATTTAAAATTCCCATATATGGATCTCTTAAAAAACTTTGTGGGTCACTATATGAGGCCATGTTGCCAGGCAAAACTTAGCCCTTGGGCTGCCAAAGTCTCCTTCAGTTCCAAAGGCCTCAGCAGGCAGCACCATCATTAAAAAATAAGACAAGGAATGTTTGATTTTAAAGTGAACTTAAACAGTTAGTCATACTATAGTGTAAAAACTATTCAAATTGGTGATTTGGAGAAATTTTATTTTGCAGAGTTTTCCTAGCCTAGAAGAGAAAGAAAAACTCATCTTGGAACAAAGGTTGGATAAAAACCAAGACCCAGGAACACCGGTAAGCTATAGCGCTCACTCTCTGGTACTTCTGAGTAACAAGCTGTGTCCCTGCATTTGTTTCATCATGCTAAGGATAATTCAGGGTTAGAGCCATGACTCCTATGGTGGGGAGAGGATTTGTTTTTTGTAGCTGTTTTTCCTTTTTTTTTTTGAACCCACCACCTCTGGCATATGGGGCCAGCACCCTACTCCTTTGAGCCACAGGCACCGCCCCTTTCCTTTTTTTTTTTAAGCAATAGAAAGAACCCTGGAGACCCATGAGTCTAGTGAGCCCCTGGGTGGAATGATAGTGGTGGTGGTACTGAAGCTGACTCACACTCCCTTTGGCATTCTTGTTTAATGTTTCTGTTACAACAACAAAAGCCATTTTCTTTGGGGGCTTTTGTATCTTTAACACCTTTTTACACTGATGTGCTCTTTTTTATTTTATTTTATTTTATTTTTATTTTATTTTATTATTATTATTTTTTTTTGAGACGGAGCCTTAAGCTATCCCCCTAGGTAGAGTGCCATGGCATCATGCTCACAGCAACCTCCAACTCCTGGGCTCAAGCGAGTCTCCTGCCTCAGCCTCCCAAGTAGCTGGGACTACAGGCGCCCGCCACAGCGTCTGGCCATTTTTTGGTTGCAGCCATCATTGTTGTTTGGCGGGCCCAGGCTGGGGATTCGAACCCACCACCTTAGGTGTATGTGGCTGGCGCCTTAGCCGCTTGAGCCACAGGCCCCGAGCCGATGTGCTGTTTTTTAAATCGAAGATGTTATCATTATGCTCATTTTGGTTGCTTACTTCTATTTGTGGCAAATGACAGTAGTTTTCCATTTACTGATTTTTTTTTTTTTTTAGTTTTCTTTAAATGTAAGTAAAAACATTGAATCCATTGAAAGACGAAGTTGGAAGCCAGTGGAGGGTCAGAGGGAGGCAGAAAGTGTGGAACTGGTGAAGGTTGTGAAGGTTGTCTCAGGATAACTGAAGCTTGGGAAACAGTGAACCACTTCAACAACCTAGGTTATGGGGCAGTGGAGGGTGGGAGAAAGACAGAGATGTCTAGTGACGAGGACAAGGTCATGCGCCTTCTCAGAGGCAAACCAGGAAGAACCCAAGCCTCCTGACACTTGGTTCTCCAAACCCCAAACACTAAACTTTGGCCCTGCCACACTGCTGAGAATCGTGCTAGTTTGTTCAACATGGACTGTGCCTCTGACAAGTGCTTGTCATACTCAAGTGTTTCACCATCACCCAGAGGGCTGGTTAATCTCAGGCAGCTGCGCCCCGACTCCCAGAGTTTCTGACAGGTCTGGGACGGAGCCCGTGCTTTGCATTTCTAAGTTCCCAGGTCAGGCTGATGCTGCTGGTCCAAGGACACCTGGCAAGCCCCAGCTTTAGACTGGCAGGGCCTCTCAGTGGGGGAGTGGGGGGTGGGCGCCAGTAACCACTGGGTGGACATTCTCTACTGTCCAGCTTCCCCAGCCCCCTTCCCACTGACTGCTCACCTAGTCAATGCGATAACCAAACTCATCTCCACACATTTCTAACACGTCAGGTTAACAGTCATGGTACGTGTTTTTGTTAACTTCCCGCTACTATTTTCAAGCAAAGACGTGGACGATCTAATGTCTAGGTCACGGCTGCTTATTATTTCTAACTCTGCTGCATTATTCACATACTCCCTCCTCCTAGAGTTCATCTTAACTGACACCTTCATCTTTCACTTTGTATAATTGTTTTCATTTTCCAAATATGAAATTCTAATAACAGATATATTTTTCCAAAGTGTACCTTCTTCCTCCTTATCTAACTCCTCTCCAACCAATTGAGCCATAGGGACATAGCCTCCTTTAAAAAAAAAATCACTGGCTCGGCGCCTGTGGCTCAAGCAGCTAAGGCACCAGCCACATACACCTAAGGTGGCGGGTTCGAATCCCCAGCCCGGGCCCGCCAAACAACGATGGCTGCAACCAAAAAATGGCCAGGCGTTGTGGTGGGCGCCTGTAGTCCCAGCTACTTGGGAGGCTGAGGCAGGAGACTCGCTTGAGCCCAGGAGTTGGAGGTTGCTGTGAGCTTGATGCCATGGCACTCTACCCAGGGGGATAGCTTGAGGCTCCTGTCTCAAAAAAAAAAAAAAATCACTGTTTTATGTCATGTTTGCTTCTAAGCTGTAAATTTTGCTATCATAGGTAAATGATAGATTGTAATATTTAATGGCAAGAAAGAATTTCGGACTTAGCCAATTTGGCTTAGAGCTCCAGATCCTAATTTGCTAAGAGAATGGTGCTAGGCTTCCTTTTCTTTTCTCTGAACTTCAGATTCTTCACCAATAAAATACAGGAGCTTTCAGTGGTTGCAGGGAGTTGATGCCACCAGGCTAGGTGCTAGGAATCTTTCAATGGCTTATAGGCTGCAGGGGAGACGTTGGTTCCATTTTCCATAAAATAAAATTCATGAAAGTAAAATTTTGATGAAACTTTATTAGCAAGTATAGTAAATATTTTAATGTTAAGGCAGAAAGGTCAGTGTATCTGATTCCTTCTGGAAATTTGGGGGGTCCTGATGTACCCCTGATAGCAGATTAGGATTTTTAAATGTTTTAAAAATATATTCTTTCACAGGGTCCAGTGGTTCATGCTTGCAACCCCAGCTACCTGGGAGGCTAATGCAGGAGGATTGCTGAGGCCAGCAGTTCAAGGATGCAATGAGCTAAGATTGAGCCACTGCACTCCAGCCTGGGTGACACAGCGAGACCTTATTTATAAGAAAAGAAAATATATACATGTTTTTGAGCAGATTTTTAAATCTCACCATCAAGTTTTCTTGACTTTTTGAGACTTCTAAATTTATTCATTGCCAAGTGTTTCCTAGAATGGGTTATTGAGAGGATTAAATACAATGACATATAGTATAGTGTATGCATGACAAGGTTGTATGTATTATGTTCCAGTGCTTTGAAAACACGAACATGGATGTGTTAGACAATGTTGCAGTACAGGGCTTCCCAAACGCAACTGAGCCTTTTCTTACAAAAGGTCTTACAAATTGGGCAAAAACAGGAAAGGGCAGACAACCACAGCCTGTTGACTGAATCTGTCTCTTACCTATTTGCTTCTTCCCCTTCTCTAGAATCCTCTCTCTCTGACACCCCAGCCTTCGAGTCAGCAGACTCCCCAGAAGAAGATCCACCTTTCTGAACACTGCCGGCTCTATTTCGGGGCGCTCTTCAAGGCAATCAGCGTCTTCAGCAGCAGCCTCAGCAACGGCCAGCCCCCGGAGACCTTCATCGCGCAGAGCAAGCTGGTCATCATGGTGGGGCAGAAGCTGGTGGACACGCTGTGCAAGGAGACGCAGGAGAGGGACGTGCGGAACGAGGTGCTCTGCAGCAGCAGCCACCTGTGCGGCCTGCTCAGGGACCTGGCGCTGGCCACCAAGACCGCGGTGCTCACCTACCCGAGCCCTGCCGCCCTGGAGCGCCTACAGGCCGAGGCTGAGAGGCTGGAGCAGCACACGCGGCAATTCAGAGCGACGCTGGAATGAGGACTCTCTGCCTCCAACCTCCTCTGCTCACCTCTGAGTTTCACATCCACAACCTGCATGGCAGGGGCATAGGATGGCCTGAAACAGTGCCCCACCTACAGCCAGTGTTATCAAGGGGCAAAGCAACCCCAGGACATTGGCTTACCCCACAGCGGGCCAGGAAAGAGAGTCAGACATTACATATGGACCATGTGACCTAGCATATTAGGAAGAGTATGCAGGGTCAGTGTTTGAAGTGATGTCGTAGAAATAACTTCTTATATTAATACGCATAGTGCATATTTTAAATTCATTCATTCAACACTTATTTATTGGGCACTTACTATATGTCAAGCTCTAGGTACTGGAGACATAGCGGTCCTGCCCTCACGGAGCTTGCCATCCAGTAGGAGGCAGACGGTAGTGATGAAGAAATACATGTACTATCTATCAGGTGCCAAGAGAAAAACAAAGGAGGTGAAGGGGAAGAGAGCTTATCTTCAAATGATTGATATTTGTCCCATCTCTTGGAAAACTTAAAGCAAAGATCAGGTCTCCCAGACACATCTCACATCTCATAAATATCTTCACAGACTGGAAACAGACAGCCTCTCTGGGTTCTAAGTCCCCTGAAATGGTACCAAGTTCAACTCCCATCTGCTACTTTTTATTTAGCTAGCACCTTTAAAATGTTGACTGCTAGAAGGTTCATTATTTTTTTTTTTTGAGTTAGTCTCAGGATCCTAAAAATAAGGATCCCATCTTTGTAAGTTTTCTTCATTTTTGATTGAGTTAATTCTGTGATATTGGTATAAATTATGTATCTGTGTCTTGCACCAAAGAACATATATTTTTGCTACGTTACCTTAACTTGGTTAAAATACGCGTTAGACTTCCGATGTGACATGTTCTGTTGGGTTCCCTATTAATTTATTTTGTATATCATTCGGGGATGTCCAACCTCTTTTTTTTCCGCTGCACATTGGAAGAAGAGTTGTCCTGGGCCACACATTAAATATATGAACACTAACAAAAGCTGATGAGCAAAAAAATAGGTCCATGTATAATTTTTATGATATCCAGCGCCACAGGTAAGCAAAACAGGTCTCACATAATCCACATGCAGCCCCCAGGCCACAGGTTGGACACCCCTGTTAGAGTCTGTGTTGATAAATTCTACTGCTCAATTACAAAAACTTTGTACTTCAGCAGTCTCCAATCTGTTACAGTTTATAATGTTATTTAAATATAATCGTGATTTTAAACATCATTTGCAGCAGTCCCTTCTCTGGAAAAGTCTTTCATCCATGTCAGCTGAGTTCTGGTACCCGAGTAAAGCCTCCAGTGTGTGCTTTGTCATTCAGAAGCTTCTCCCTGGGGTTTTCAGGCAGATGCAGGAGAGGCCAAGTTTGTATTCTCTAGACTCACTGAGAAATGAACCATCACCCATGGTGGTGTGGACAGGAAGGTGTGGTGTGGGCAGGACACCCATCACTGAGCACAGATATGAAAGTGGAGGGGAGATCACCTCAAGTCAAACCACCCCCTCTTCCTCTCCTTGCAGTGAAGTTGAGCTTGTGTTGCCATGGTTACACCATCCCTCCACTTCAAGTGAAGGTCACATCTCCTAGACACATCTCAGACACATAAATACCTTCACAAACTGGAGACAGCATCTCTGGGCTCTAAGTCCCCTGAAATGGTACCAAGTTCAACTCCTACCTGCTACTTTTTATTTGGCAGGCACCTTTAAAATGTTGACTGCTAGAAGGTTCGTTATTTTTTTGAGTTAGTCTCAGGATCCTAAAAATAATGATCTCATCCTTGTGAGGCTTGGTTCTCTGCAACTAGACAGACCCTGGAGAGCCCCATACTTTGAACAGCTGTGATCTGCTTCAGTTAGGACTCATGTTAGAAGTGATGGAAAACCATATCCAATCTGTCTTAAGCAATAAAAGAAATGTATTGCTTCAAGTATCTTAAAAATAATTCAGGACAGACTGGCTGCAAGGCTGGGGGTTTCAGGGGCTCCACCAGTGTCATTCAGGACCAGTTTCTCTGGTTCACTCCCATGACTGCAAGGTGGCTTTCCCAAGTGATGTCCCTCCTGATTCATGGCCAGAGGACCAACAAAGGACTTCACTCTGCTTGGATTAGCTTAGCTCAGGTGCCTGCCCCTCAGGGCTCCATGATGAGCAGGGCACAGATCACCCAAGTTGACTTAGACCTAGACTCGCCCTCTACAAACACACACACACACACTCATGCTCCCCCCCCCCAGCCACCAATGTATCCTGAGAGATGCAAAGGGGTGACTCTGTCAAGCATGGGAAAGTGTCTGCAGTTTTATCTTCAAAATGACAAGTTAGCTTGCCACCATTTTATGAATGCTGACAGAAGACACGAGATTCTGGGATCAGAGATCCCAAGACCATCCCCCAGAGACTCACATGACTCAGAATACAGTAAAGTCACACTCACAGTTGTGACTTACTATAGTGAGATGATACAAAGTAAAGTCGGCAAAGGGAAGAGGCATCTGGGTGAAATCCAGGAGCACCAAGCCCACGCTTCCAAGAGTCCTCCCTCTCCCAGTGGAGCCATGCAGGACAGTCTTAATTCCCCCAGCAACATGTCTGACACCACTTGTGAAATGTTGTGAACCAGGACAGGTCAGAAAGCCTTGGCACTCAGGGGCCCCAATCACCTAGGCAGCCTCTGCCTGGTACCTATGAAGTTTCGAGACTCCCAGAAGGAATGTAGGCATTTCAGCACAGATCATATTGTTTGTGCAACTGGTTTACACATGACAAGCCATTGTTATCCGTTCTGGGGGTAGTGAGGGTGCTCCCAAACGCCAATCAAAGGCCGACCTTGCAAGCAGGACTTTGTGAGGACACTAGTCAGGGCTGCTGTGTTAACTCTCCCCTACATGGAGGGAAAGGGCATCACAGCATCACAGGCAGCACCTGTTCATCTTCTCATAACTTTTCTGCACCTTCCAAGTCCCAGGGCACAATGCAGAGGTGGGCTCAGGTGGGTGCTGTACATACAGGGATTTGTGCCAAACACAAGGAACCTCAGTGTAAGGGTCCCCAACATTTTACAACAGGCTCAGAGCAAACCTGAATGAACTTTGCTTTTACTGTATTACACAGCACAAACCTCTCTGGGGGAAGAAATTATCTCAATCTTCCAAGGCTGCTGGCTACGAACATCCTGGAAAAGATGCTCCAGGACAAGATGCCATCCATTCCTCTGCTCAGAAGCTATTCAGCACAGTGGGAGACCCACGAAGAGCTGTCTCCTGACTAGCAAGAGTCAGGAATGTTGTTGGAAAGAGGAGTTGTTGTGGGGAGGAAACCCATAAATTGTTACTGCTGTGGACATGATATTTTTCATGCAATAGTAATAACAGCAGTATGACTATTAGAAGTATTATTCTAAAGCACTGTTCCGATGTTTTAACTTAGTTCTTCATCAGTGAGTCTTCCATAGCATTCTGATAAATCCCATTTATAAAGCTTTTTTGAGAGATGAGTTCAAACTGATGACCTTTGTCAACAAAGTACAAAACCAAAACCCCTGAGTATAAAATAATGAAAAACGCTGTGCTTAGCCAAATGTGTTTCCTTCCTTTTTTTGAAAGAAAGCACTTCAAGGGTGAGTTTCTATTGATTAATTCAACAAGATGATTATTTTGGAGAAAAGTTTTTCAAATATAATCACTTTTTTTTTTTTTTTTTTTTAGTTTTTGACAACATTTTGCTAAGTATTTTTGCTTTGTGCCCAGAATTCTGTACCATTTCCTCCCAAGGAAGGAAGAGGAAATGGTGGGTGGTGTGGTAGCAGCAACTTGACCTCAATTAAGTTAAATTTCATAGGGAGGATGGAAGTGGTGAGGAGACCATTGAAGAGATCTTCCAGTTTGACAAGCGTTGGGGAGTCCTGTTTCTGGTTTGATGGCAATTCTTTTTTAATAAGACATTTTTTTTTGCATTTTTTATTATTAAATCATCACTGTGCACATTAATGTAGTCATGGGGTACAATGTGCTGGTTTTATATACAATTTGAAATATTTTCACCAAACTGCTTAACATAGCCTTCATGGCATTTTCTTAGTTATTGTGTTAAGACATTTATATTCTACATTTAGTAAGTTTCACACTTACTAAATGCACCATAGGTGTGGTCCCACCAATTATCCTTCCTCCACCCATCCCTCCTCTTACCCCTTTCCCCATATTCTTGGGGTATAATTGGGTTATAGCTTTCATATGAAAGCTATAAACTAGTTTCATAGTAGGACTGAGTACTTGGATACTTTTTCTTCCATTCTTGAGATACTTTACCAAGAAGAATATGTTCCAGCTCTATCCATGTAAACATGAAAGAGGTAAAGTCTCCAACTTTCTTTAAGGCTGCATAGTATTCCATGGTGCACATAGACCACAATTTATTAACCCATTCGTGGGTTGATGGGCAACTGGGCTTCTTCCTTGACTTAGAAATTATGAATTGGGCTGCAGTAAACATTCTGGTACAAATATCTTTGTTATAATGTGATTTTTGGTCTTCTGGATATATACCTAGTAGAGGAATTGTAGGATCGAATGGCAGGTCTATTTTTAGTTCTCTAAGTGATCTCCAAACATCTTTCCAAAAGGAACGTATTAGTTTGCATTCCCACCAGCAGTGTAGAAGCGTTCCCTTTTCTCCAAATCCATGCCAACATCTCTGTTAATAAGACATCCTTTAACAAATAATTTGTGTTTTCCTTCATGTGCACCCCAGCTCTCCACAAGCGGCCTGTGTGCATGAGGAGCTGAATGGAACCTGTTCACCAACGCTCCTTTCCTTCCCTTCATCATTAACAAGTATTAGCTGAGCACCTCCGTTGTGCCAGGTCTCCCTGAATGCTACTGGGAACCAAGCAAAGGCTCTGTGACAAGGCACTTTTATTCCAGCTGAGGGAGAGAGGGAACCATGGCCCAGGTGAGGGAGAGACCAGTGAGGAGC